CTTTTTACTTTATTGATAGTTCTGATCGTTTATAAAAGCATAAAGGAATGAAAACATTCCAGCAAATTAAACAAAAAGTAAATTTAAATAATATTTTTATATAATATATATAATTACAGCCAGCCACTATAATATTTCAAATGTCCAGCCGCACGTATATATTAACTGGCGTTTATCTTCCAGTCCATAACACTGCGATAGTCAAGCATAGTCAAGCCTTTTTATATGCATCTTTTGAATAATCAACAAAAAAAAAGAGTGTCAAATCAATGCAAATTGACAAGCACTTAATGCCAATGGCCCAGATATGCATGTTGTCATGTATTCGTATCCTTGCTTATTGCCGCATTAAGTGCTCTGCACAGATACACAAGCGCACACAGAGCGAGATATACATATAGAGAGAGAAAGAGAGAAAGAGAGAGAGAGAGAGAAATGTATAGACAGTGAATGCAGCGTCGCTCGTTTGACAAACTCTTTTGACCCGAATCCAGCGACGGCGCAATCGTTGTATTGATTGATGATGAATAGCATCATCCAGTGGAGTCCATTAAACAGGACACAAACAGACACACACACATGCACACATGTGCGCCTAGTGTTTGATGGCACTTTAAATGTGACTGCGAAAACTAATTGGTTGGGCAAGCGATTTGCATGTGACCCAACAATAACAACAAACATCGCAATAATCGTGTTCAGGTTGGTTTTTCTTTTGGCAGTGCTTTCGCAGCCAAGAAGTCAAGGCGAACGGCAGTGCCACGCCTTTTGTCTGACTGTAACGATAATGGATCCTGTCTTGGCAGACAATTGTCATTGGCTTTTGTTATGGTACGGCAGAGCAGCAGCGGATGCAGAGCTCTCAGCCGTGAGCTCGGTTCCAATTAGCTGGCGGCCACAAAACTCACTCTCTCTCTCTCTGTGTGTGTGTGCAAATGTCTAAACATGCCGCATTAGGGATAAAGCGAAACCGACTTGAATTTATCACGCATACGACGCGTTGCCAAAAAGCCGCTTAGATTGCCCAACAAAATGTTAAGCAGCAGCATGCCAAATGGCAGCCGCAAGACACCCACATAAAGGCGGAAACAAGCCTCAACACACAAACAAGCAGAAGAGCAGAAAGAAAGAGAGAGTGAGAGAGGGAGAGAGAGAGGGGGAGCGGGGGAGAGCCACAGCCAAGAACGATAACTAAAAATGTAATTTGGGCATTAAGAGCGCGCTTGGCAGGCATAAAATAACCTTGATTAGAAACTCAAATGTGCGCCTGCCAAAATAACAAGGTGGCTAACAGCGCTGGCTGTGGTGCCGGTCTGTGGTGCCGGTCTGTGGTGCCGGTCCGTGGTGCTGGCAGTGTGTGGTCTGCCCTGTGATGGTATCGCGCCTGTAGCACGGCCTGCCACGTGGCCAACATATATCAGAGGACCCCACCTCGAAACGACTTTGGCCCCTGCCATATATCAGTGTGCACCTGTGCCAAAAAAGGTGCCCAAACGGCTAAGGGCAGCCAAGAACGAAGGTTGCGATGCTGCCAGTATACAAATAAATACACATATATATGTCTATATATATGTATTCCTGTGTGTGTGCACATTAAGGTCTGTTTAGTAATCATAAAACCCAGCAGCCAGCCAAACATACACACACACATACACACACACACACACGCGCGCTCAGCATACAGTCAAAAATATGCGAAATTTGAATGCGCTTTAACTTTGATGACTTGCTCAAAAAAGTTATGAACTTTACTTTTATATAAATACAAAATCAAGATATAAAAGTATTCTAATTTTCATTTTAAGAGCGAATGAAAAAGAAAAAATGTGCACAAAAGTTGGAGCTGCATATGCAAAAATATTAATTTAACTTTTGGCAATGACAAAAACAAAATTACATATATTTTGCATATGCGTATATTTATTTCTATAAATATTTGCTCATATTTAAAATACATCTATTTATTTTATGCTGCGTGCTACAATCAACTAATCCCCCAGCTCTTGCCGCATCTCACGCCTCTTTTAGCTGCCTTAACACTTGTTATGCATTTCAAAGCTATACATATCAATATACAATGTTTGATTGATTGCTAAAGAACAGGCTGTCTCTAGACAGGCTCAGTTTCAGTTTCAGACCTAACAAACGTGAATTTTAATAAATTGTTAGCGTAGTCCGCACACAAAGCGATTTGCGGCCTTTTAGTTAATCGCTTTTAAATGTTTTTTCAATATGCATGTCGAATTAGTTTTTAGGCCATTTTGTTTACTTTTATAGATTTTTCATTGATGCACTCAAATGAATTTGGTATAAAATGTTTAAAATTAAATGTGATAAATTGAAGAAAATATTTTAATGCCAATATATACCAAATATATATATATATATATAAAACAAAATTTTGAATAGAAGAAGAAAACGTGGCTAAAGCTTAAAATAAGCTTAGGCATTTTTTCCAGTGTATAAAAAAAGGCATTTGCAAAGCGAGAAAATCTTCCTAAGCGTCGTTTGCTCTAACTGTGACATGAGTCTGTGTGTGTGTATGTGTATATGTGTATGTGTGTGTGTGTCTGTGTATCAATTATGTGTATGAGTGTGCGCGAGTGTGTGTAGGGCGTTTAGTTTTTATGTGTGGCAATAGCCGACAGCAACACAGCGTGAGGGAGAGAGAGAGAGTGAGAGAGAGGGCGAGGGTGGCTGAGAGGTGAGCAGCCAGAGGAGTTTGGCAAGAAACGTAACGAAACGAAGCGAAATTCCCGCAGACACCGGACTAATCAACGAAATTGCTGCAGCCTTTTAGGCGCACGGTGTACATATGGCGGCAATAGCCTCAGATTGGGCTGTCCTTTTTGCATATGTTGTTGTTCGACACATTTGCTGTTTTGATTGGAACATCGTAGCGAGTGGGCGGTGGTGGGTGGTGGGCGTGCAGCATGTTGGCCAGATGATTGATGGCAGCAACTGAATAGCGTTCGAGAGCTGATAAAACTCTCGCTCTTTCTCACTCTCTCTACTCGCTGTGCCTTTTGAATACGCAACAAATGAAGCGTGTTTTTTCTTTTTTCAGAGAAAAAATAAGAAAATTCTGTGGAAAGCAAGCGTGGAGCATTGAATGCCCATTCATTGAGGGCAATACGAATATTAATAATGTACGAATGAAATGCAAACTTTAAGCTTAAAGAGCTAAAGTTAAAGCAATGCCTGAACTATTTAAACAGCTTCAGCTAATCTTAGTGCAGTTCACACGCCGTAAAAGTTGTAAGAAGTTCTGTGACAATTGTTGCTTTTGCCTCAAGGCATGAGCCTCATTTGTATCTCCCTCTTTCCCTTATTTTTTTTTTTTAACTGAAATGACACTTGGCGCTGACAAATAACCCCGCCAAGTATTACATTATATCACATCATAATCAAGCCCCAACTTGAGAAGTTCAGCCGCACTGTCATTAGAAGGGCGTGCTCCATACAAGCCTTGTCTGACAATCTGAGTGCCTTTGTGTGTGTGCGTGTGTGTGTGTGTGTGTGTGTGTGTATGAGTGTGTAAGTGGGCTCAAGTACGCTAGTCCTATATTCAAAACACGCAACACTTGTCATCAGCAGGCGCCGACAATCATTTACGCAGTAACACATACACACACACACACACACACGCACACAACAATAAACAGCTGTCTACGAGTTTGCACTGTGCTCTGCCGCCCCCCTGAGATATATGTTTGCCGCTTTTATTAAATTATACCACAGTTGTTGTTGTTGTTAACGTGAAATACCCTGTAATCAGCGGGAGTAAGGATGGGCAGCGTTTGCTTAGGCGATCTGCGGCTGATTTGGCTGTGAAGTGAAGTGGGTATTGCCCTTTGCCTAGAAATGCATTTCTGCTTCTTAGATCTGCTTTAGCATAGAAGTAAAGCCTGGTTTTTGAATTGAGCCTTGCTTATGCTTGAAATATATATTCCTAGGTATATATTTTATGTATTGCTTAAATTTGTTAATACTGTCCATATTATCAACTTAATACTTTCATTGCATATATACATATTTTTTATTCTTTTATATATTTATTTATCTATTTATATTTGACTTCATTTTTAGTATTAAAGTTTTTTTTTTTTTAATTATTTGTTATTATTTATTTTCTTTATGTTTATATATTTATATTAAAAATTTCATAGTCAAATTTACTTAATTTTCTTTTTTAATATTAAAGGTTTTATTTATTGTCATTTTACTTATTATTTTTCGTATTTTTTTTTATATTTATTTAAAATTTAGTTTATATATTTATTAATTGTCATTTTACTTATTATTTTTGATATTTATTTTTTGTATATTGTCATTTTACTTATTATTTTTGGTATTTTTTTTATATTTATTTAAAATTTAGTTTATATATTTATTTATTGTCATTTTACCTATTATTTTTGATATTTATTTTTTGTATATTGTAATTTTACTTATTATCTTTGGTATTTATTTTTTGTATTTTTTTATATTTATTTAAAATTTCGTTTATATATTTTTTAATATTTAAGATTTTGTTTAATATTTTTTATAAACTTTTGTATAATTGTTTTTATGTTTCAGGTTTCATAGTCATTTTATTTTATTTTTATTTATTTATTTTTTTTTTTTTGCATACTCTTTATTATTTATTTATTTATTTTATTAGTTATTATTCAATTGATTTCAATCCATGCTCAATTATTCATATTTTATATTTTTTGTTTTCAAATTTAGTATTTTCTAGGATATCTCTGGGTCGTGCCTTGGCAACTTGAGCACTTTTAATTGTTGTTTTACATTGTTTGTTGTTGACATTTATTTTGTGACAGATTTTGATTTTCTGTTGCTGTTGCCGTTGATATTGCTGTTGCCCACTTGGCTGGCATTTTGGCACGTCTTTGGCACGCCCGACTTTTTATCGTCCTGGCGTGTCCTTGCGGCATTGCGTGCTCTGGTCTGTGCCGCAGGACAGGTGCTGCAAATGAAAGCTGAGGCAGCAAATGATTTCTCAACTCACATTAAATGTGGCGCGCGTGTATGCTGCACTTGACTTAATTGAATCACTGATTGACTTGTCATTGTTTATTATTTATTTATTTTCCTTTTTTCTTTTGGCTGATCTCTGAGCATTTGTCATGCAAATAAACAAATGTCCAAAGCGAAACTCGAATACGGCTGTGAAATGTGGAGTCCTCTTTGTTATACGCATGTATATGTGCTATGTGTGTGTGTGTGTGTGTGTGTGTGAGTGCGCATGCAGCACTCACAACATTCATCAATTATCAAGTGAAAAGAGCCCCGAGAATAAAACGAAAAAGCAATAAATCTAAACAAGGCCCCAAGGGACTCCAGCCAGATCTACAAACAAACATTGGGACTGAGAGACGCCTAGATGCATAAAGAGAAATGCGGCAGAGAGCGAGATGGAGAGGTGGAGAGAAAGAGAAAGAGAACGAGAATGAGATGAAGCTATAGATTATGCGTATATGCATGAGCATCAGCATCAAGATTCATTTCACATGGATGTTGCATAAGCAAAGCTTTGGATGCCGCAGCTATACAACGTCCTTAGAAGGGTACATATGTATGTACGCATGTATGTATGTACGTATATATAGTCGAAGAAGTGGAAAAATAGCTCGTGAACAAGTTCGGGCAACTTGTTAAGGCCAACACAACGAAACTAAGAAATAACTAGACTTTTAACGGGCTGGCAGGCTGGCTAAGTAAGTTGGGCTTATAAAATTCTACAAAATAAAGAGCGATGGGCTGTCACCGGCGGAGTGGGGGGGGCTTGCAGGCGAGTTGCCTGCAACACGTACGTGGCAAATACAAATTTAAGTAAAACAAGCTGGCAACAAAGTTTGCACAGTGAACAATTTTCTTTGCACTTTTAGCCAGGATGCAGGCAGCACATGTATGTGTGCGTGCGCGTGTGTGTGTGTGTGTGAGTGACGTCTGTGGCAGAGACAAAGGCAACGTTGTGGCTGAATAGACGCGGGGCAAGGAGAAGCCATTGATTTCCCAGCAAATGTAAGAGAATCGAGTGTAAAGCAGACCCAAAGGACTAAGAGGACTAGAGGATATGCAGCAAAGGCAACAACACAAATAAAACTGAGGGCGGGGTGGGCGGAAGAGGAGGAGGAATCGAAGCTGAAAGGCGTTCAGCTGGCAAACATAAGTCGCACACTCAAATCAATGGCATTGACAGTCGGCTGGCGGGGTGCGGAACAATGGCAGGGTGGGTGGTGGGCGTGGCAGAACAAATGGCATAAAGCTGTGTGAGGACAGGCAAAATGGAAGAGCGGGTGAGCGGGGTGAGGGTGTACGTGAAGCTGGCCCCATCTCTAGCATGGCAATTGTATTCATTTGACTTGGCAACCAATTGTTGCAAGTGGCAATTGTTGTAATGGAAATTCGCAGCAGGCGTCTTCAAATAAAACCAGAGCAAGCGCCATCAAAAATTTAAATGGGCAACATTTTCAATTTTCAATTGGAAAATTGTCTGGCATGCTTCAAACGCAATTGAAATTCAATGTGTAAATATTTTAAATGCATATCTGGACATCAAAGGCTAGCTAATAGTCTGGCAGGAGATGCGGCTAAAATCCGTACTCATATAATATTTATTGCAGAAAATGGACAGCTAACAAAGACCTTTGGCTTTATTTTATTTGCTAAAATAATAATTGTACTTGCAGTAAAAAGTGCATGCAATTAAACTATGGCACAAATAAAAAAAAAAATAAAAAAAAAAATAAATAAATAAATAAAATAACGCTAACAAACTTTGGCTTTATTTTTATTTTTTCTAAAATTTTAATCGTAGTAGCAGTAAAAAGTGCACAAAAAACAAAACAAGTAAAAAAAAATAATAAAATAATGTTTACATCAAAGCTCAACAGCTGTAAAATTTATAATTCTTAATAAGTTTTTTGAGCTTGCATATTTTATTTACATTTCAAATATTTACATATATTGTATATTTATTTATTATTATTTTTATTTTTTTATTTATTTTTTGTCAAAGTTTTTATTATTATTATTATATTATTATTCATTAATATATATTTATTATTAAAATTTTTAATATTTTAATTTATTATTTATTATTATAATTTTTTTAATTTTTCTTATTATATATTTTGTATTTTTTTAATATTATTATTATTATTAGAATTATTTTTATATTATTAATTAATATATATTTATTATTGCAATTTTTAGTATTTTAATTTTTATTTATTATTATAAAGTTTGATAGAATTATGATTTTATTAATTTATTTTTGATCAATGATTTGCATTAATAGACTTATATATTATATATACAAATTCAGTGTTTATTAGCAACTCATATCGTAAGCTTGTTTAGGCATACTCATACATCACTATCTACATCTGAATACACATACATACGTGTATGCTTGTGTATCTAATATCATACAACAGTGAGCACTAACTATAAGCAGTTGTGCATGATATCATATGTGCTGTAAAGTACACATCTTATAAGTAGATATGGTTGAGCCCACAGAAGATTGCACAGAAATACGTATGCATACATGTACAATCTGTGTGTGTATGTGTGTGCACATTACATATACTATATACCAGTTGTATACACATCCCATTTGTGATTTTTTTTTTTTTTTTCGTAAACAGAAAGCGCCGAAAAAAAATGTGACTAATAGAGAAGAAACGTGCAGATAAAAGCAAAAAATAACAAATAAAAACGAAAACGAAAATTAAATAAATAAATGTGAAAAAGAGCAACAGCAACAACAAAATAAAAGTTGCGAGTGCTTGAGGCAATGAAGGCAAGTCAGACAAGCAGGAGAGCAAGGGAGGCAGGGATACAAGGTTCTCCCTCTCTCTGTCTCTCTCTATCTCGTTCTCTCTTAGTGCGTGTGTGTTGCAGGCGGATGAAGACGTGACAGCATAAATAGCGGTCAAAAATGTGCCCATTGCCATATTTGCGTTTGTAATTGCGTGCATGTGTGTGGGTATATGTGTGAAAACACAATTTCAAGGATTGCAATTACAACAATAACAAATAAGTAAGCAAACAAGACAGCAGCAGCAGCAACAACAACAACAACAACGAGCAGCGAAAAGAGTAGAAAGATAAAAACTACCTTGGCCCAGAATTGAGGCGCATAAATACAACGCACCTACATTGTCTGTCTGTGTGTGTGTGTGTGTGTGGGTGTGTCCATCTGTCTGTGTGTGTGTGTGTATTGGCAGCAGATATCGAGCGCATTGAGCTCACTGCAATAACAACAACAACAACAGCAGCAGCGGCGGCAGCAATGAGAGCCGTAATAACAAGCAACAATAAATGCCGACGACGCTGTAACTGCAGAGGAGAGAGTGAGAGAGAGAGAGAGAGAGAGAGAGAGAGAGGGAGAGAGTAGAGCGAGCAAAGGCAAGGGAGAGAGATGACATTGTGCGTTGCAAGGGCAAGAGAAAAGCGCCTTCAAGTGCCCCACAGCACGAACTCTGGTACAAAAATGCATTTTGCAAACACATGTTTTTCTTTCATTTCGTATATACGAAAATGTACTAACATTATGATGAAATTAAGTACATAACATAAGTTACTAAATATAAAATGACTTAATTTTAATGCTAAAGAATTCTGTTTTTTATTTGGTGATCACGATTTAAGTGCTTTGTTAATTCAATTATTGTTTATCT